TGTGTGTGTGTGTGTGTGTGTGTAGGACTCCCTCGCTCTCCCCTCCTCTTCCTCCCTTCCTCCCTCCCAGGATTCCCCAGCGCTCTTCTTTGCCTTTGGATGTCCTCCGGAGTCTCACCCTTTCCAAAAAGAAGTCCAGGTCTTCTGCTAGACACCAAAAGACCTCTCCGCATGAGTCTGGAAAATCCCTTGTTGTGATGATGATGATGGGACTTCAAGTGGTTTTTCTGACTTCTGGCAGTGCTAAGGCGACCCTCTGCTGGAGTTTTTTGGGGCAAGCTTGGTTCAGAGGAGGTTTGCCCTGGCCTTCCCCAGAGGCTGAGAAAGTGTGACTTGCCCAAGGTCACCCGGTGGTGTCATGACCCGGCCAGGATTCAGTCTCAGGTCTCCAGAGTGGTAGTCCAACACTGGAAGCTTTACACCAGGTTGAAAAATCAGTATGGCATGGGATTTTGTAGCTTCTTGGAGACCAACTGAAAGAGAGAAGTTGGGAGCAGGAGCTTTCCTCAACTGGAGTCCACTTCCTCAGATGCATGAGGCCGACTGGAGAGAATAGTACCTTTGTCCCCCAAACATCATCTTTAAAACTGAACTTACCCTCTCAACTCCATGCCCACAAGGTTTTGCATTTCAATTGATTTTCTCTCACACAACCAACTTCGATAGGTCTGACTCTGGACTCTCCACCTCATGCACCTGAAGAAGTAGACTCACATCTACTAAAGTTCATGCTACCAGCTTCTTTCTTTCAGGTAGTCTAAGAGGCACTACAAGATCCCTTTGCAAGTCTGCTAATGACACAGCTGTCCCATGAGAGTGACCAGTCTTTTTTTCTTTTCTCTCCACCCCCCAGCCATTTTTTGATGGGAAGGTTAGTTCCCCCAACATACAATTTTCGAATAAATAAGAATGCCACTGTCCCTGTCAGCACATAAAATGATGCCCTATGAGGAGTGACTTAGGGAGCCGAGTATGTTTAGCTTGGAGAAGAGAAGGTTAAGAAGTGATATGATAGCCCTGTGTTTAAGTATATGAATGGGTGTCATATTGAGGATGGAGCAAGCTTGTTTTCTGTTGCTCCAGAGAACAGGACCCAGAGCAACGGATGCAAGCTACAGGAAAAGAGATTCCACCTCAGTGTTAAGAGGAACTTCCTGACAGTAAGAGCCCTTTGACAGTGGAACACGTTCCCTTGGATATTAGTGGAGTCTCCTTTGGAGGTTTTAAAACAGGCTGGATGGCCATTTGTTGGGGATACTTTGATTGTGAGTTCCTGCATGGCAGAATGGGGTTGGACTGGATGGCCCTTGTGGTCTTTTCCAACTCTGATTCTATTATTCTATGAGGTGTGTGGTTCATACAGCCAATCTTTGTGACTGACAGGCACACACATGCATTTGTTGAAATAAGAGGGTTCTGGTACACGTCCCCCCACACACCCCGATGTCCCATTTGGCATTGTCTGGTTGGGATCTCTTCCTTTTCATGTATGATTGACAGCAACTCTTCCTTACCCCCTTCATGTTGAACACTGCCCAATGACTGCTTAATTCCCATTTCCCTTCCAAAACTCAAAACTGGAAGCCTTTCGTGTGGCTACAGCTTCAGCAGCCCCAAGCGGTACCTGTGATGGACCAACCAAGAGTAGGAGAGTCCACTTGTGGAAGGATGTGGAGGCCAAATGGAATAGGAAGGGAGGAGAGAAGAAGGACCGGAAATCTTACTTTTTTGGACCTTTAACTCTCAGAATCCTCCAAACCAGCATAAGCACTGAGAGTCATAATTCTTTTAAAAGTAACTTTTCCAGGTCTGACAAACTGGGAAGGAAAATGCACATGTACTTCACACCCATTAACAAACTCTTTTACCCAGACCCTTGAATGATACCTTGCTTCATACTAAACTTTTGAACTGGTAAAAATGTTAATCAACAATCCAAAAAGATTAAATAAATTGGTGAGCCATTCTTGTGAGAGACCATCCTTGTGAACATTTTCACAAGTGATGTTATAATTGAGCCCCTTTGAGCCTCTCACCACATGTTGTTTTGTTGTGCAAATGAAGATGTTACCAATGCCTGATACAAAGCACAAGACAAGACTTGGGACATGACCGCACAAGCCCCATTCTCACCACAATCATTTAATGAAAACAGAAACATACACTTTGAGAGCAGCCATTATCCCATGTCTCTGCAATAGCGCCATCATATTCTCCTCTGCGCACCCCCTTAACCCAGCTTTTTTGCCTTTTGGAGGGGGTATGTTTAATTTTAATGCAATTCTGGAGTTATGCTAATGTGATTTATTCAAATGAAAAGAAATAGAAATAGAAAAGAAATAAAGTCAGTCAGGGCCTAAGCAGACGGGCGGCCGTGGGCCGCCCTGGGAAGGTGCGCCGCGGGACCGAGGCATCCCCATGAGAGAGAGAGAGAGAGAGGAGGAGACACCGAAACCACAAGACTGCCAAAATTGGAAATACCACAATAGCAATGTTTTGCACTTGAGGACCAATAGGACTGCAGGACAGTTGGGAGTTTATTGATGGACTTCCCCAGTCATGGAAAGGGAGACTTTAACCACACTTGCAAGACACAGCAGCTACTGGTTGGAGGTAACATTGTGCAGTAAGCATTGCAAAGGCACTATTTTCCCATTTTTATTGTGGCTTAAAAGCCACATATAATA